TGAATGTTAATACAAGTATCAATGCTGTATAACCACACAGCCAAAACAATCAATTCTAAAACGTGAGAAATTATATTATTATTATTGTTAAGGCTAAATTGCAATTATGTAAGACGTTTTGGTATTCAGGAAATGGTGACAAGAAAACACCTTATGACCCAAATTTGCCAAAATATACAGTGAGAGCAATATCTAAAATGTACACTCACACAGAACAAATGTTTAAGTCCCATGTGTTTAAACCGTTATGCACTCTTAGGACGGTGAGAAAGAAATGGGATCACCAGGTTCTTCAAACAACGTATAGACAAAGTCTTAATGCCTGCGAGTTGTTTAGAAGGACCTCTCCTAACTAACGTAGAAAATGATCTCATTCTGACTATTAAGCATGATGGAGGAGGTGTGATAGTGTGGGCTCTTCTGAAAGGCTTTACAAATCATGATTAAGTGCAGAGTTTTATGACAAGTTTATAAAAACTACCGGGATCCTTTTCTACAGAAGACAGTCTGAAGAGATTCAGTGTTTCATGAGGTTTCAAATAATAATAATTAATATATATATATATATATATATATATATATATATATATATATTTATATATATATATACTAATAATTTTTTTTTTTTTACACATATACACACACATACACTCTGCCTGGCCAAAAAGAAAGTCGCCACCTGGATTCAACTAAGCAAATAGGTACGAGCCTCCTACTGGATACCTACTGCATGGGCGATTATCTTTCAACTGGCAACAAGTTATTTAACCGCAACTGGTGCAATGACTTGCTTCTCATTTCCTAAACAACCATGTTGAAAGACAGATCCCGAGGTCATGGAAAAGATGTTAAGTCTGTTTGAGAAGGGTCATTGGCATGCATCAAGCAGAGAAAACATCTAAAGAGATTGCAGAAACTACTAAAATTGGGTTAAGAACTGTCCAAAGCATTATTAAAAACTTGAAGGATAGTGGGGACCAATCATCTTCAAGGAAGAAATGTGGCCGGAAAAAAATCCTGAATGATCATGATCGGCGATCACTTAAACGTGTGGTGTGATCAAATCGAAGAAAAACAACAGTAGAACTCAGGGCTATGTTTAATACTGAAAGTAAGAGCATTTCCACACGCACAATGCGACGGGAACGCAAGGGATTGGGACTGAACAGCTGTGTAGCCGTAAGAAAACCACTAATCAGTGAGGCTAACCAGAAAAAAAAAGGCTTCAATTTGCTAGGGAGCATAAAGATTGGACTGTGGAGCAATGGAAGAAGGTCATGTGGTCTGATGAGTCCAGATTTACACTGTTCCAGAGTGATGGGCGAATCAGGGTAAGAAGAGAGGCAGGTGAAGTGATGCACCCACCATGCCTAGTGCCTACTGAACAAGCCTGTGGGGGCGGTGTTATGATCTGGGGTTGCTGCAGTTGGTCAGGTCTAGGCTCAGCAACAGCATGTGCTCAAAGAATGAGGTCAACTGACTACCTGAATATACTGAATGACCAGGTTATTCCATCAATGGACTTTTTCTTCCCTGATGGCACAGGCATATTCCAAGATGACAAAGCCAGGATTCATCGGGCTCAAATTGTGAAAGACTGGTTCAGGGAGCATGACATATCATTTTCACACATGGATTGGCCACCACAGAGTCCAGACCTCAACCCGATTGAGAATCTTTGGGATGTGCTAGAGAGGGCTTTGCGCAGCGGTCAGATTCTACCATTATCAATGCAAGATCTTGGTGAAAAATTAATGCAACACTGGATGGAAATAAATCTTTTGACATTTCAGAAGCTTATCAAAACAATGCCACAGCTAATGCGTTCTGTAATCAAAGCTAAAGGCGGTCCAACAAAGTATTAGAGTGAGTGACCTTTTTTTTGGTGGCAACTTTTTTTTTGGCCAGGCAGTGTATAATATATATATATATATATATATATATATATATATATATATATATATATATATATATATATATACGTATATATATATTCTCAACATTTTAACTGCAATTAGGATATTTTCTAAATCAATACTTGTAGAGGGTGCTGTTTATGTTGAGTGATCCCATTAGACTGATTCCTATTGTAATTCAGCACCAATAAACACCATTGAGCTGATGCATTGAAGACTGCTTTTTTCCCCAATTGTGAAATGATTTAAAGTCAATGATGTAATAAAAAATGGAAAGATCAGTATCAGCCTTTTTTGTTAAATGAGTAAAAGTTTGCATTGCTCCAAAAAACAAAAAAACAAAAGCCAAGTCAGCAAGTTGAGGAGACTCTGTCAAAGATGACTGAAAAATGAGAGCACATACATAGAGTGAGGGGACTGTCTCGGTGACAGCACAGTGGGCAAGGAAAGAAGGGAACACATGGAAATCAGCAAAAAGCACACTGAAGGTTAAGAAGAGAACTACAGTCTTTATTGGGAAATATTAGTATGAGTGGCACTGTGTGATAATAGTAATAAGAATAATAAAGAACCTACAAAACTATTGTAATACCATGCAAATAAGAGCAAAGACAAAGCCTGACCATGCTCTCTGTATGGTTAACAGAAGAGAAGCAGCATCCAATGAGTAGATGTTTATGCTTACAGCACATTTCAGTACAGCAGGGACATCTCTACAAAAAGATTACATTAGAATCTGCTGCTCAATGTGGAAAAAAAACAACAAAAGTATAAAATAAACATGCATTAGGTTCTAATACAAAAACAAAACATAAGGCAGAAAGCCACAACCAAAGAATAAAAAGACATTTTGATTCTAAAAAGGATTTCTACAGCAGTGCAGGATATACACATCCCTGTAAAATGGATAGCATTCTGGAGGTGCTGGAGGATTTGAAAGGAGAGGGTGGGGGGGATAGTGCATGATAGTGGGTTATTTTAAAAAAAATGGCACAATGAGTTAGAGCTGCATCTCGCCAATTTACTGTGAAATCAATTCGGCTAGCAGGAACACAGGCTTGGACACATGGACGGGAGGGGGGGTTATGACCAGCTGTTTGGACAGCAGTTTTAACAGGTGCAGTGGACCAATAAGGGTGAAAGATAACCTCACTTAAATTGTGATGTCAGCACTATACAATGATATCCAAATTATTGCACTGCCTTATAAATATAGCCACTTGCTTTAAGTATAAAACCCCCAGTACAATGCACCTTTTGGATGGAGGCGGTAATCAAACAGTTCGATCAAGCCTGGCTATAATCGAATCCAGGAGGATCAAAATGTATCCACTTTACAGAAATTTACAGCAGAATGTAGTCTATCCACACTGAATGGGAGAATCACAATGACAGCCTGTAGTAAACTCTACAATGGGTTATTTACTAAAGAGCAACATGACAGTTTAAATAAAGACAAACTATTCTCCTACAGAAAAAAGGTGTTATTCTTTAGTCTGTTACACAGAAGGATACGGTATGAGTGGGAGCTCGGTTTGTTTGTCTGTTTTAATGCCAATGTCTTCTTCAGATGGAAAGAGGAAATGAGGAAGAAGGGGGTTCACAATACAGCTAGATGCAGAGAACAGGCAGAGGCTACGGCAGACAGCAGCAGATGATCGTTAGCTACACAATGGAGGGGGACAAAGGTCTGAGAAATGCGGAATGTAGAGCCAGCCTCGATACTATGGAACAGGAAAAAAGAACACAAATAAAAGCACAATGAAATCATTGGTGCTACTCCATGTAGTTTTAACAATCAAAATGTCTACTGCTACAACTATTATTATTATTACTACAAAAATCAGCACAGATAGCCTGCTGCCTCTAAGAGGCATATCTCTGTTTAAACGGCCAAATCAAAACATCTGAATCTCACCTTTTTTTCTGGCCAAATTTAGCACATATTGTAATATTACTGTTTTTAAGCAGAAATTGAGACATACAAGAATTATGTTTCTATTTTTGATCAAGTTGTCTATTGGATCCAGAGGTGCCGTAAGGGGGGAAGTGGGAAGATACCAAGGGCCCTGACTCAAAGGGGCCCCAATAGAAGAAAAAAAAAGATATGTCCCACTAGATATAAAAATATAAAAAGAAAATCCAGCAGAAAAATAAATTAT